AGTCCAACACTTAAGTGAACGGCCCATACATAGGAAACAAAAGAAATAATACTGTAAAGGAGCCTCCCAGACATCCCCATCCCCCAAACAAGACTGAAGGCCATGCACAGAGTCAGCCTGCAGATATGATGTGTGGGTTCAATCTGCGATCAAAAGGTTTCTTGTTGTCAGTGTATCACCGTTGCAGCTTACAGCAGTCCTGCTCTCAGTGCAAACCTTAACTTGGTTATCTCAGTACAAAATTCAGGGGCATACTCCTAATCAAAACTCTTATATGCCTTAAAAGGTAACATCTGCTGATATAAATGCTTTAGTACCAAAAATACTGCTGAGCTAAAAAGTACTTGTAATTGTCTGGGATGACGTAAGATTATTTATAACTTGAAACCTTTGTCTCATCTTAACACAACAGAAAACCTAAACTTCCCTCCATCCTATTCCCTCTCATCCATTAGCAGTACTGAGAGGTCAAACACAGCTAAATGAATACTTAAAAAAACCCCCAACCCTATTAGAATTATAACAGATACAGAAGGCTCAAGTAGCTTTGTCTTTCAAAAATTAGAGGGAAAAGGGAAGCTCGTTTTGACAGAATGTGAACCTTAAATCACAGCTTGATCCAATAATTATCCTATAACTGCAGTTAAGTTACATACTCAGCTCCAAGTCATTCAGTGGACTCATATTTTACCACACAATGACTGATTAAGCTTATAAAAGGAAAAGAATCCTTTAAGCCAGGAAAAGAAAATCATTAGACATTTTCATTCTTTTTAGTCCTTTAGATACCAGTAATGACTGCAAATAATATATTCATTTTGCACACAGCAGGAAAAAGAGAACATGCAATTCAAGACTGTCTTCAAATAAGAAATATTGGATAGGAATTTTGTCTCCAAGATAGCTTTTCTCTGTTAGCACTCCCAAGATTTGCCCCTGGCTTCTCTTCATTGCCCTATGTAGTCTTCCAGTAAAGGCGCCTCCAAGTTAAAATTATATTACAAAGAGAGACAAAATTTTTCCATTTTCAATATAACAACAATTTTTTTTTCCATTAAAATGGAATTGAAATGTATATATAAACTTTAACAACTTTTTAATTGCTATGTGCTTCTTTTAGGTTTCCACTATTTACAACCATCTACAAGATCTGCTATGAGGGTCGATCAATCCAGGAATTCATCATGTGCCTGCAGAACCACCCAGAGCACATGTAGAGATCCCCTCTCCTCACCTGGCTGCATTCTCACCTTCCCAAGACTTCTGTCCACTCCACAGCAATTAGGGAAACAGGTTGTGTGACAACACTTGCTGTAAAGGCAGCAAAGAATGTATTTCATTATCCTTGTTCTTGAGGTAAAAAAGTCTGTCTTTAATTTCAACATTATACCCAAGGAATAGGAAATGAATGTAAAATTTAACAGTATTTGAGTTAGTAACATGGGCATTTCCTCGAATTACATTCTTGTTGACTGAAAACAGTTCCCCTTTTAATTTCCATAACAAGATCTCAATATAGCTCACGTGAACCTCAACGTTTTGCCTACTAATGCTACTTACAGAACAGCACAAAATACAGAACCATTGAAGAACTCATTCAAACAGACAAATTATAGTTAAAAAAAAAAAAAAAAAGCTCTGACAGCAATAAGATGCAATCACATGGGCAAATGTTGGGGTTTCGTAATTCCCCTCAAACACAAGTAACATTTTTTATTTTGTGACATTTAGACCCTCCTTGATTTCATTTCCCAGTATAAGCCTCTTTGGAAAAATCAATATTGTTACTGTGCTCAGACACACACAAGTAAGTGTTCAGCAGATGCATAAATAAAATGGTTCAAGAGTGGGAGAAAGGAGAAATAAGGGCTTTTGGAAGGGGGTATTATTTCAAATTTGGGACCCTAGGAATCATCAGTAATAATCTGACCTTCATTATAAACTTACCGCATTCCTTCAAGGTACAGCAAAAAAAATTTGTAATAACCAAACCCATCAGTGTTCGCATCAGATTTTCTCAGCAAGTCCTCGTCATGAATTGGTACCAGCTGAGAGGGGAGAAGTAGAGGTTGGCAGGGAGGATGGATGCACAGCTCAGCCTGCACCTTGTGCACTGCTGTTATTTTGAGGGCGTAACGAGTAACAGTGAATAACCCTTTGTGATACTTGACTTTTATACACGTATGAAAACGACCGCTATAGACGCACAGAAATCCATTTGAAACTGGGTTGCATTTTCACTCCACTGGGAAACTCCACTGGTCTGACTCCAGTGCAGCAACCCACGACTTTCCAGACTGCAGAGTAATGCCCAGATCCTGCTTAAGCAACGCATCTGACACTCCACAAGAGAGATCTCCATCTACTTCTGAATTCTAAACACAACCTGGTTCATATACCAGGGTTTTTTTATCGTGCTACCAATGGTGTAAATTTTAGAACCATTGAAGTTTTTAAACCTTAGTAGTTGGACTTGGGTAACTTTACATACTTGATGTTTTTCAGAGTTAAAACCATCTACAAAATGAACAGTGGCACATTTTATAAGCTTTAATACCCTTTTGAGAGACTCCTATTTTGAGAGAAGGCAAACAAAAGGAAGAGTAACCTACTTTTGCTGTGCTTTATCTAATTTTCCAAAACAGCAGAGAGGAAGGCAAGTGGGGTTTTTTTTAAGCTATGTAGTCACTGGCAGATTGCTTAGAGGAAAGAAGAAAAGATAATAAAAATAATTTCAACTCATTATAGAGGAATAGTACCAGAGTAATATATATGTATGAATGTATTGTAATTACAAATATATAGTAAAAATCTCAGTCTCACAGCTAGCAAAGCTAGCTCAAGTACCAAACAATGGCTACAGCATCCCTGATCCCTGCTGGGCAGCACCAAAGGTAGCTCAGCTTCTCCCGCTCGGACTCCGGTCACAGCCAACGGCTCGAGGCTCAGAGGGCAACACCAACATTCCTTCCACTGAAATGGGAATTGTGTGGCCAAATCTTTTTCACAAAGCAGGGAATTTATGATCTTCAATTTCAAGTGGAAAAATAACATATTTTGCACATTTTAAAAGTATCAAATACATGAGGATGGGATAGAGAATTCAGGAACCTCCTTACTTCACCATCGGGCTGAATTTCTGATAAGTCACATAAGAGCTAATAATAACCTAGAACATTTTACATTCAAAGTGTATCAAATAACAGTTTAATAAAGTGATCAATATGCAGACTTGATGTAATTTCATTTTTCAACATTCTAACAAAATAAATGACTGTTGTAATAGTGGCCCTTTACTGCACTTACTCCTGCAGTTAAATCATCAGCAGCTCTCAAAGAAAAGGACAACGAGAATCAATTTTCTACAGACATTTTATTGAGGAACAGTTTTTTCCTTTTTTTATAACATACCTTTTTTAACTAGTAAAATAAGTAATTTTTTTACTCCATAAATAACTCAAATTAGCCCTTACATCTCAATCCAGCCAAAATCTGTGTAAAATAGTTTGTTCTATATTTACATTCTGTACTAAAACAGAAAACACATGTTCAAGGTCAGCCAGTTCTCTCAAAACAGTTGTTTTATCTCCAAGGTAAGCTTCACATTTGAAAGGCAACATTTGCACTTTGAAAGTCTGGTAGTGTAAGATCACATTATTCAGTGTACAAATAGCCCCAAATCCTGAAAAGCAATGCACACACATCAGCAGCACCCACACATCCAGACAAGCAAAAACCGGGGCTTTGATCTTGCAGCAAAGAAACCTTGAGCTGCTCAGCTGGCTGAAAGTCACTCCTTGGAAATGTGGGGAAGAAAGGACATACAACTCCTCTCTATTGGAATATAATCAAGAAGCAAGATTTGCAGGACAGGGAGATTTAAAAACAACTGGCCCTCATGAGGAATCCGGATATGTCTGCTCTTAAGCGACATAAGTCTTCCCAATTTACTAACGCACCGTAGAAAGAATGAGCTGCCTTGAACTGACAGTCAATTAATGGGGGACATCATTCTCTTTCAGTAATTAACCTACATCAAAGGCCATGACAGTCTCCCAAGACTCATTTCAGGAGGAATAAATTGCTGCTTTTCAGTGTGGTTCTACCTGCTGCATTCTCCAGCCAAAAGCTATCCTTACTTCTTGTAATTGAAACACTAGAAAAATGTGTTACTAAAGTATGCCTTCCCTTGACTTCTAATTGAAATGCTTTGAACTACTGGGGCCAGAAAAGTCCACAAGACTAATTTATTTTCCTAAGCAAACATGGAACGCTTCTTTAAAAATTAAAACCATGGACGTTACATACTGAAAACGTTTCTGCCACAGGTGAGCTAACTCATGTATCTCTTAGCACAGCTTGCAGGGCTCCTGCTGCCCTGTTTACTCTGGTGAGAACACAAAGGCTTTTAACTGGGCTACATTTCAAAGTTTTCAGGCATAAGAGATGCAATAGGATGGACTGGCCACCTACGGTCAGGACACCAAATGGAGCTGCCTGCAAACTTCGTATTTATTTAAAAGCAATTCTGACTTTTACAGCATAAATGACACTTAAGGCTACACAACTGATTGGTATAAAGCTACATTTTTAGATGTGTTCTACACTCAAAAATGGCTTATGCTTCCTACTGCATTTACTTTATTCTTAGAAACCTGAGACATGTTTTTACTTAATTCATCTTAAGATTTGGAAGTTCCCGGCAGGCTAGAAGCTGAACGCGAAGACAAACACAAACTGAGGTAGTCAGCTTTACTCAAATATTCTTTATGACAGTTACCAGTCCGTTGTCACCTTAAATTGAACTTGATACATTCCTTGGCAGTTCCCACAAGGCTACAGCTGCTAACAGCTGCCGACCCACTGATGGGATATAATATGTTGCATTTTTCTGACTCGAGTACTTTCCCCACCCGACCACCCAAAGTCACGCCCAGTTCTGCAGTTCACAGCCAGCTGAAGGGGCTGCACACGGAAGAAATTACGACTGAAATCTCAGATTATTAAGGCAGTAGCAGTTTTACTTCACTGGATTCACTGATGCAGCTACTCAGCAGGTACTGGTGAACCTGACCACAAGAGCTCCAAAAGGCCCACAGATTTTTCCCTGTCAGTACAAAGCACTACAGCCCCTTTCTTTGATGAATGCATACAATTCAGAAGTAGGTAAGCATCGACTTTCTAAGCCATCTTTCAGCTAATTCTCAGGGAGAGAGATTAAAAGAAGAAAAACCCTCAAGATAAACAACTGTGTAGAAGATAAAAATATTCAATTAAATATAACAAATCTCACATTTACACAGACGGGAGACCAGCATATCAAATACTGAGCACAATAAATTAACACCAGTTAAAAACTTTAACAGGTATAAAGTTAACCAGAAAGTTCATACAGTGCAAATATTCCACAGTAAGGAAAAAATAACTAGTAATTTCTTTTCAAGTATCAAAAGCATTGTTGTTGAGTCATACCATTTCAACTGCATTATTGCACAACAGACAAAAAATACAATATCAACCTCTGGGACCTAAGATGTATTCTCAAACCTTTATATTTTCAAGGAATCAATTTACCTTGACTGTTTTGTGGACACATTAACATGATTAGTGTTCACTTACCAATCTTAGTAATTTGAACTTGTACCAATTTAAAGCATTAGAGTCCTGACTTGTATTGCTTCTCTGAAACACTGGTTTAAGTCTAGCCTAGGCCTTGTATAATTCAAAGCAAACTTAACCTGCAGTTAAGAAGGGGACTTAACCCAGTACAAGGTACTCTCAACTGTGATGCCTTCAGACACTTTTAGGTTGCACCTTACTTGCCCCAGCAGTGTCATAAGAGTTCCTTTAAATAAAAAAAACCAACAAGTCCAGTAGGCACTAAGAATTTCTTACAATCATGATGGAAGTCCTTTAATAATTTAAAGTTTAAATTTAGCTAAATAAATTTTACTCCACCTCCCTACCTTCCATTTTAGAAAGGGATCCAGTCACTGACAATTCTAATATCACAGCACACTTAAGAAGCAGAGTAACATCATCTTTGCATTTTTTTTAGTGCACTGGGCATGTCCACTCCCTCAAGTTTAACACTCTTCCAAGAGTGAAAACTATCCTAAAAGGACAGACGGTGGATTGAACCATGTAACAGTTTCTTTTACTCTGGACGAGATTATTTGTTACCCATTATAAAAACATCTTTACAAGGGTCCTATAGAGCAGCTCTCCTTAGCTTGACAGATTTACTCATTTCCTTCCTCTTCTATATTTTGTCATTATTAGTTTTGTAGCAAGGTGTACCCGCAAGTGATTCAAAATGTCTGATTCTCAACTTATTGCAAATACTCAAATAATCCATAGTATTTACATGTGTAAGAAAAAGTTCAGGTGGAAAGGAAAAAAAAAAGGAAAACAGATTAGATTTTCCTTACACATTCAATATATTTTTGGTCTAGAGACATCAGCATGGTCCTGTAAGATTATAGCTGCCATTGCTATGGTTTGCCCTTCAACAAAAAGCGAGAACATTTGCAGTTATGTTCATACTACTTAAGAAAAAATAACGCCATTATTCATTACTTAAGAAACAAACCAACAAAATAAAAAAATGATCATAAATTCTATCCCAATTTTACAGTCTGGATATCAGTACTGAAATGCATTTGCCCAGCAAATTACTCTGAGAATATTCAAACATTTGATGTATTAAATTTCACAGTAGAACTGGCACATGCTAAATGAGAATGGGATTTCTCGACAGTTGTCTTCATTACCAGTCTGAAATTCCATTTTGTGCATGTAGGAAGATGCAAGTGAACCCCAAGAATCAGCTGCTTTACCTAGTATGAATTCTGAGAAGCCTCAAAGCTGCAAAATCAAGTTGTGGTGACAACTGCCAACCACTAGTCTATCCCATTAAATTATTCCTTCACCCATAAATCGTAAGAATTGACAAAAACTAGTTCCCAACCTGTTTAGGCCTGGGTTATTAGCAGTGACAACAACTGAATTTTACATGGCTTTCGACTAAACCGCTGAGGTATATTTCCAGTTTGAGGATGCTTTGCTACCAGTCACACAACAGACATAACAAAAAAACCAACCCTCAGTTCTATTACAGCAGAGTTCTTGTTTCAGATCTTAACTGAATTGCCAGGTAGTCTAACACAGTTGGCATAGTGGATCTTGTTACTGAGTCAAAAAAACCCAAAGGTTGCAATTCAGGAAAATACTGGCACTTACTGAGACAAGGTAATTTTTCCTCCTCTCAAAACTCTGGCTGCTTTTGTCAGCACCTCCCTGACTACTGTCTGCAGCAATACTTGCCAGAAGAGATGAGGTTCAGCAGAAGACAGCTTCCTGCAGAGACAAAATACTCTGTGCTCCACAGTAAGGAGTGCAACATAACAGTGTATCATCTCGGAAGATCTTCTGGCCCCGAGCTTGACTCTATGCGCAGAGAAACAATCCTGTTAGCAGGGGAATTAAGTTGGCCATCAGTAACCAAAGGGTTACAACCAGGCTGGATGAGCAGGAGCATAGGTCTAAAATAAAAAACCGAAAAACCATAAAGCTTATAAATTTTATATTTAAAGAGAAGATAAAATAACAAAGAGAACACTAAAAACCACTAAAGAGCTAAAACAAAGTTCTTGACTAAACATTATCTGGTATTTAGTGAATTAAGCTTTTTACCTCCCTCAAAAAGAAAACTGATCTTTCGCATTCTGGATTATAACACTAACATTGTAAATAGGAAGTTATAAAAGTGAGAACTCACCACAAGGTGATAGTTTTAAGATTATAATAATGATATGGCCTTCATGACATGACATGAAGGAGTTATGTTTCAGACACATTTCTCCTGTGTTAGCCACCATTCCACACGGCTGCACAGCAAAAAGCAGTGCACCTTTGCTATCTTCCTTTACCTCCTACACCTGGGATCTTTGAATAGCCATGGCTTTCCCTTTCTGTTCCCGACAGTCAGAGCTGGCACGAGTCTTTGAAGTTTTCAGATATCTAATACTAAAGTTTCAATTCAGCAAATAAGGCAACCTACCAATGGGTGCAGCTCTTGTTAGGTTAGAAGCCGGAGGATCCCGCTCTGGGGGACAGGAGTCACAGAAGTCCGAACAGGCTGGGCAGAGCAGATTCCCAACGTGTATCCAGTCATTCATCTGGATGTTCACAGTTAATACCTGACCTGAGCGGCTGCACAAGTATGCAGTGTCCTTGACCCAAACATGCAGCCCTTGTGGAGAACAGGAAACCTTAAAATAAGAGAGTAAGAGTCAAGTCTGTATTACAGTTTATCATAATGGGGGTTTGGAGGCTCTTTCAATAAGTAAACAGGACATTCAGTAAACACCTGGTATTAGAGCACAGATGAACTGCAAGTATTTTAATGCACTCAGAGCAACTATTTGGTTCAGGAATGCTTTAAAGCACTGACTGTACTCCTTTTGTGCAATGATGCAGATCATCAACTGAGAACGAGTAAAACTTGGCTTCTGCTCATGACTACTTTTTTAGAGTTGTGCAGCTGTTGAATGTGACACCTTTAGTGAGACAGTCCTGAAGAAAATGAGGATAACGAAAAATAACTGATGTGCACAGTGCTTTCTACTTCTGAAAAATCAGAGTGACTAATTAGCATTAAACTTCAACAACAGAACATTTCATATCATTATTCCTTCTTACCTCAGTGACACTTTCTCTTCTGGTAAAACAGATGATGTCCCTAGCAAGACTGGAAGTAACACACAAGCAATCCCAGAGGTCACACACTTATCTAAATTACAGGCTTATGGTTGGAAGACAATTGTTTTCAAAGCATGTCAAATGATCTAGAGATTTGAGGCAGAGAAGATAGTGTTCAGTGTGCAGATGCAAAGTTCTAAGTCATAGCCTACATTTTATGCCTGACTTTTCCCCTAAGTGTTACTTAAAACAAAACAAAACAAAAACGGTAAAAACCCAACACATACTTACTTGGTAACATCCACTACCCCAGTCAGGGTAACTGACTTTCCTCCTGCACTGTTCCATAACAAAAGCGGATTTCTGAATAACACATACAGAGTTTGGTCCATATTTCTCTGCACCATAGTTTTTGGTAGGATCTAAGGTAAAAGGAATATACTGAATTGCAACTTATTAGAGAAACAAAGTCCAGGTCAATTTAAAAGCCTATAGATGGTCAATATCTCCACATGCAATTTAAAGTTCACTTCTAGAATATTTCAAACTGTTAATCATTATCAATTCAGTAATTATACCATCTTGAAAATAAAATGGGAAGAAACCGAAGATTTTAAAACCAAACAAACCAGTCAACTAAACACAAAAAAACCCAACCAGCAAGCATTTTCCATCAGAAGTATGTGGTTATGTTTGCCCCCAGGGAGTGACAGCTGTGATTTCTGGCTTCAGGGCAGAGGGTGTGTGTTTGTTTGGTTTTGATACAACTGCACAGACAGGTAATATCCTCCAGCATTCTGGAGTTCTGTGATACTGAACATCCACACACTACCCACGTTCTAGTAATTTGCAAAGCTCCTTGCCTTGAACAAACAGCCCACAAAGGTAGAAAGTGGAATTATGTTTCAGACACTCAAAAAACAACCAACCCACCCACCCTAACTCTTTGTGTTATATCTGGATGATTTGGGGTTATTATCTGTTCTGCTCTTAGGCAATTCTTGCATTAGATGTGGGAGTTTGCCTCCTAGATGTACAAGGTAGTTGTGCTATGCTTCTCACCCCAGCACAGTGTTTACACAGCTGGTAGGGTAAAACTTGACTAGTGGAAAAATTCACATCCAATTAGTTAGAATATACAGCAAGTCCATTTCAAATTAAGAAATGCAATCTCTGTAATATCATACTGAAAACCTGAGTACTGACCTGGTTGGTTTTCAATTATTCTGCAGTCTGAACTGCGTTGAAATTCACCACTTAAATGCCAGCTGAATTCCTGACTAAAGGGACAATAGTCGGCAATTTCTACTGAGCCACCATAATAAGGCAATTCTTCTGCTGGTACTCCATTAAGATTGTCGAAGTACTGCAAAACAAAATACAGTAGTGAAGCAGTTTGTGCAAAGCCAAGTGTACAACTGTTTTTAAACAAACTCAACCACTACACCTGTAAGAACATCAGCTGTTACACTCAGGAATGCTGTTAATAGCAACTTAAAACACCCATGAACCAGATAAACCAGAAGTATTTAAGAATATGTAAATATGCAGAGATTCACATTTGCATGTATCACTCCCCAGTCCTGCCCCTGCCTCCCCTCTTTGTAATCAGTGCAGTCCTTGGGATGTAAGGAGAACACATTTCTTAGTGTGCAGTGACACAGGGCAGCAGACTGGGGGAAGAAATACCCCAAACAAAACATTCGGAGGGATTTCTGTTACACAGCAACTTTTCCATCTGGTATTGGGTTAGATGGCCAAAAAAACCTCCCTATTCTTTTATTAATATCACAAGGGTTTTTTTCAGACTCCTTGTAATAAATTAGGCAGATGTTTTTCACATTATCTACTCTTGTCTACCAGTTCAGAAGAAAAAAAGCCCAAAAATATAATCATCTGGCTGCAAAGTTCAACAATGAAACCACTTCAGTTATTTGTTAAAGTAAGATCCATTATACCTGATATTCCTGAGGTAACTGCTTTGGAAACTTCTGCAAGTTGCACACTGCTACTGCTCTTTGGTCCTGTCTGCAGGTTAACTGCAAAGGATTACTCCTCAAAGTGTCACAGTATGGACTGATTAATTGCCTCCTCAAAAAAGAAAAGAAAGAAAGAAAAAAGAATAAAAATCCTATTAGATCAGTTTAACTGGTTTACATAAACAGTCTGTCCAAACTCTTTGTTCCCATTCTCTCCTACACTCACTCAATGACACAAAGAAGCACCATCTTCTTCTTTGAAGGCTAATTACTGCTATTTGTCTGGTTATGACCTTTCAGAATATCAAGCCAGTGATCAAAATTACAATGCACTCACCTATTTGGTTTTAATGACACTGCTTTGTAAACTTAAAAAAAAATATACAAGCAAAACAGGCCCACTATGCAGCTGTGTCCTGGAAATGTACGAGCATTGTACAGGAACAAACAAGGCAGGCTTTGTTCTGAAGATGCCTATCATCTCCCTTTGTTGCTTTAAGTACAGACCAGTAATGCAAAATGACACAGGTTGCATTTCCAATTAAAAGGGACAAAACAGGAAGGCAACCACTTTTAGATTAAGTTCTACCCATCCTCTCTGAAGCACAGCCTTCTCATAGTGTAAGTGCATTCTACACCCTAAGATGTTTGGCTCTGTGTTTTTTGTACTGAGTGGGATGCAGGGCAGCATTCCTTGTTCATCTGTATCTGCCTCTACTTCTTTTTACCGTGTTACATTTGAAGGACAAATTTAAACAAGCATCAGAGTTTCCTCTCAATTTATTTTTTTTAAAAGACTATATCCTTACTTTTTCCTCTTTTGGTCAATCCAGAATTTGCAGCTCTTCATTACAAAGTCACAGCCTTTATTGCGTCCCCAGTCTAATTTCTCTGCCATGCTGTAATTTGCTTTATACCACCTGTAAAGGTATTTTGAAATAACAATATAGTTACTTCAAAAATTAGTGTTCTGGTTAATAAAACTGCAGTTCAAAGAACTTCATACTGTGCCTTAAGGTCTTCAAATGAAGAAAAAGGGAAACTGCATCCCTTTCTGCCTGTAACAAAATATATTACAATTACACTGTTTTTCATGTCCCAATGAACTAGAAGAAAATTTCATGATCTGCAAAGGAACAATGTATACAGAAAGATGATGTTTTAGGCAATTCCTGCTTTCTATCTGCAAGAAGATCTGGAAAAAATAATCAATATGTACTGCATGCAACTAGAGAAGACTTACATTAGGAAAAAAGTAAACATACTCTACAAACAGTATTATGCATTGCAATGCCTGTTTTTTTTAAGGCAAAATTAAGAATGGGTTTTGACATACATGAATAAAAAATAACATACGGGGTCTAACTCCTTGTTTAGTGCAATGTCAATTATGATGATTATCTACTGTGCTGCAAATGGGTAAGTACAAATGCATCAACTCCAAATAAAATCAAGTACAATGAAAACCAAACACAAATGAACCAAAACCCAACCCCCATTCTTAATTCCTACCCTGTGTCTTCCATTAATGCCAAGGTGATCCTGGAAAAGACTCGATTCTGGGTATGGGATCCAGTCATCGCTTCATTCTGAAAGTTACCAGTTACTATTAGTAAGCCACTGAAAATCATTATTGTAAGAAAATCCTTCCTATGAAAAGGCATTTTATTACCAGTCTCTTTTTACTACTGACAACCAAATTCCATCCTCCTTCATAAAAGGTCGGTCCTGAAGCATTTTAGTTTACCTTCTTGTTTACCTCACTGCATGTGCCAATGACTAGAAAGTGTACCTCTGCCAAAAATCTAACACAGCACAAAGTTATAAATAAAAATTAGTTTAAATGTCAGGAGGGAAATAAGTGCTTTCTTGATCAGACTGGGTTCTGGAAGACAGATGGCAAAAGCCAATGCCAGGGCACATGAACAGAGATGAAGTCAAGGTAATGAAGAATGATCACATATTTGATATATGAAGCAGAGGGCAACAAAGCTGAATGGACTAACCCCCTTGCACTAAAAAGGGAGCAAACCTCCTCAAAAGGGTAAATGGTAGACAGAAGTAAGAGACATTTAGTTTTTCAGTAATCATCTCAAACACATACTCTGAAACTTAGCAAAAAGGTTAAGAGAGAGATGCCCCATTTCTGGATAAATGTAAGTATTCAAGTATTAAGTAGTGTTTGTGATGTATTTCAGTGAGGTTTTATATCCCTGCATTTTCAAGGTTCCAGTAAGTACCACACTAAACCTAAAAATCAAGGTGGAGGGAGCAGACATTCCCACATCCTCTTTCAATCCTAATGTCAGCACTAACCTCCAACAATCTCTTCTCCCAGTGATTGAGCTCAGTACCCATGCCACCTTGATTTTCAAGCTCCATTCCCTCTAGAATTGGACAATTAAAATGTTTTCGAGCTTCTTCCTAGAAAGAAAACATTTACAACTCTCAAAATATTGAGATGGAGACCCACATGACATCCTACTGCTCTAGAATTATCTTTTAAAAGTATTTCAGCATTTCATTTTCTACCATTTTATTTTCTTCTCAATGTAAAACACTTCTACTCAGAGGCTGACTAAGCCACCAAGCACCCCAACAGAAAACCTAACACTCTGTCTACTCATCTCCTGGGAATAAATGAGCAAAACTAGGAGTAATTAATTCAAGTTTGCTCTATATACTGTGTTAGATTTAAAACAAACAAAAATATTATCTGTGGCCAAATATGACCAACACTATGACTTATTTATAATACCAATTTATTACACTTGAGTATATGTTCTTTTGGTGGCACAGAGGGAGAGTCAGAGGCGTGGGAAGCAAGGAAGATTTCCAAGAAAACTCAGGGTATTTCTTTTTAAACATAACAAAACATTACTTGTATTATTTTGTAATCAATAAAATTAGAGAAAATATTAAAACAATGCTTTTAAAGAGAGAAGTAGAAAATAGAATGATCTTACAAACGAGAAAAGCAATGACAATGCTATCTGTGGAAGGAACAGGAATACTGAATAGGTGTCTCAGTCTAGGAAAACATTTGAAGAGTAGGATTACAGAATCTCCAACACCAGTTTTGCTTAACCTTTCATAATTTACTTCCCAGTGCCTTCCTTGTCTCTTAATATTAAGTCCATTTATTTATTTCATGCTGTCTGCCACCCATTTTCCACTTTGGATCCACCCTCTCAACTAATTACACAGTCTTAATGGAGTAGGCTTTGGGCCATGCTTTCAGGGCAAAGGGTATTCAGTGTTAGGTTATTACTTCTTAAGGAGCAGGGAATAAGAGAACGCGATGGGAGCCTTGGCACACAAAGTTTAAAAGTTACTCCACACTTACGACCACACGAGGCGTTACCAGAAGCTGAACAGTGTGGCGCAGCATTTTGCCACCACGTACGTCCCACAACCTCACTGCTCTGTGGACGACTTTACTGCTCCACTGATACAAACCTAGGCTGCAAGGAGAATGCTTTGGTTACAGGTCTTTCCCACAAAGACTTGCCACTGTGAAAAGATTTTTCTAGGTAAGAAACAGAATCACAGAAAATCTCTGTGCTCCCTCAGGCTTCCAAAATTTAAAATTTTATTATGCAACATTTCTCTTTTTTAAGATATGTGTTCATTATACACACAACTCTGATATAACAAGGCAAAGATTATTAAAAACATGTCTATAGACTCAAGACATATTTTCTACTGTTACCAAGAGGGTAAGAAATGAAATTCAAATCCTCAGAATTGCTATTATAAAAAGGTGAACAAAGAAAGCTCTCTACCCTTCCACTTCCAAAAAAAAAAATCCCTAGAAGAACATCTCTACCACATCAACTACATAAAGAATAAAAAAAGCAAACTGCTCATTCTGTAACAAGTCAGAAAACTCACACAGCAGACTACACACCTTGTCAGTTCTGCATAACTATAAACCTTGAAGGATACACATCTTAAAAACAAACTGCACTGACATTAGGCAGCCTACAGAAAACACAATCTTTAATTTAGAGAGGCATTCATCAGCATCAAAATTTAGGCACAGGTAATTGTAATGCTTAAGTTCAAGCCTCCTGATAAATGAAATCCTATCTTAATTTGTAATACATGTGGATAATACAAGTGCTTAATGGCAGTGTAAAGAAAGACTAAAAAACCACCACACACCAATATTTGAACATAATAAAGGCAAAGTGCTCTAATAATGGAATGAAGTTGGATTTTCAACAGGCAAGAATACATCCTAAAAAGGCAACAGGAAAACATCCTTCAATGGGAGTACCAAGAGGTTAAAAAACATGTAATACCTTTCATTAAAAGGAGGGAGTCCATCTGCATATCTTGGTGTCAAAGGCTTTCCATCATCATCACGATAAAATGCAAACAATCCAGCAGAGAAACCCTTCAAGTTAAAAAACAAACACATGGAAATCTTTGGTAAGACATTCACATCCAAAGTCAAATGAGATGAAAGAGTTCCCACCCTTGGCACAGAAACACTGGAAGTACTGTGCTCCAAGGCAACAAACACACAAATCTAAGGAGGCAAAGCAAGAGTTTTCCTCCATCGAACATCCTTCTCTTGCAACAAGCTGGAGGCATGTGAGGAAGCAGGCACCAATTTCAGGGAAACACATTTTATAACATCAACCCTCACCAGTGCATGGATGATCTCGTGTTTCACTGTAGACAACATGCCAATGAATTCCTGAGCTTGTGTTGAAATCATATTTGGACATAAATTGGCATATCCTGCTATTGGCCTGGAAGACAGTTTTAAAGTTACATGGGTTTCAGTAAAATACTAGCAAATTCAAATCATATTCACTTGAAGCAGCAAAAGATTAAAGAAAATAGAGACTAATGTAAAAATAAGTCCTTCCAAACAACTTGCCCAATCATTTATAAATGTTATATCTGTTAACAATTCAGTGATTAGTTTACTGTTGGGATAGGGAGGGGTGGGATCAATCAATCTCTACACTCAGTGGTCTGCACAGCTGTCAGTGACAACAGTCTAAGAGATCTGAATTTAGGTAAGACCCTACAGAGGTACAAAGCCTGTGACAGTGACTACAACTGAGGTGGAAACAAGAGCCACATAAGTAGGGCCACTTGCATTCTCCTTTAAGTCTGTGAACACATGACATTCACTCCCCCAGAAAGAGGATCTTGAGATAAAGTTTAGGCATTAACAGTGGAGGATTAGCTTTAATTCATGTGACTCAACTTTGCAAGTTAAGCACTATTTGATGGCTTTGTGGTTTTACATAAATACTGTGCTTGTCTATTTCAATAACTCCTACCTTGTTATACAACACAGGCAGACAATTAAATTCCACATCTGAACAATTCAAAACATGAAAGCTTAATTCAAAAAATACTTGCCTGTCCATTTCAGCTTCCAGCTGGCAGTAGGCTGCATATGCAATGATATTTTCATGGCCACACCTTTCAGTAGTGAGAGCGCTAACGTAGAGCACAAAGTCAGCATCTCGAACCCCTTCTTGGTCAGGTAAGCCAGTGGGCCTGCGGTGCCAGTCACTGTCATTGTACACCCTGCATTGCTTTACAATGTTCACATAGAACAATTAAAACACTTCAGCTATGATCAGAATTTCTTATGACAATTTAATTAGCTTGAAGCTGAGAACAAATCCCATCGCAAAACAGCAAAAGGTAAGAAAATGCCCTATGAAGACAGTAAACAAAACCAGAGCCAAGGAATAACTTTCAAATGACTAGCTCTTTCGATTTATCAGACACCATGAAGATGGCAGTTTAAAAAAAAAAAAAGAAAGGAAAAAAAAAAGAAAAGCCTGCCAAGCTTCCCAAAATTAGCACCCTGTATTTTGTACAAATCAAAAAAAAATTCTTGGCTCACAGAGCCAGTATACACAAGTAGCAAATGCATTTCTCATATAATCGTGTATGTTTCTAACGTGCAGATGAAATGTAAAGTTAAAAGAAGAAGAGAAAGAAATCTACTGATCACATACTGCAGCTGAATCAAAAATTCATGCAAGGGAACATGTCAGAAGCATTTCCTGCACCATGTTCTTGGGTCAGTGGATAACCTCTTCAAACAAGGACTTTTAAAAAAATCAACACTTATTATTAGCTCTGTAAAAATCCAACTTGTTGATCAAGGTGAATAACAAACTGACTAGTAGCAATTTAATGAGCTTCAAATCTCATCCTCTCTGTGCACGCCATTATAATGCAGGCTCAGAAAACAGTAACCAGTCCAGTTTTATTTGACTTTTGGCTCAACAACATAAACTACAGAAACTCCCCTTAAGTTGTTCTATTTTGTCCCTCGGACTTGGTGGTCTCCCACAGAGAGGTCACTTATGCAGAGGTAGCAAAATTTACTTTTTCATTTCCACAAACAGTAATCTTTCAAAGATTAGGAACCACTTGGACAGCTGAGCTTACCTGGAGGTGTTCCTCAGGAACTATAACTGGCCCACATCTCGTATGGTCTGCGCAGGCTTTTTGGCAGTACCTGTGAGGGTCAGCTTTCCTCCTTAAATATTGGTTTGTCACACATTGCCTTCAGTGAAACATGAAAAACAGTCATCACTCTCCTATTATTAAAACAAAACTCTAGAATAGTACAAAAGCATTATATTGATATTTTAACAAAACTTTCACAGTGAAAATTGTTAGTTACCCTGCTAGGGAAGACAAAATGCTTCCATAGCTGTTAATGGTGCCTCCACAGGTTCAAAGAGAGACTAGGAACAGGTTCATAAATGGGGGTACGTATAAAAGGGAACTGGCAGCATGCATAGCCTTCAACATTTCTGACACAACAAATGCAAGTATCAATAATGGAAGGCTGGTAGATTTGTGTACACTCCCTAAAAGAGCATGTGCTACCTCCACTGGGTCAGGTGGGTCACTGGTCTGATTCAAAAGGGCGTTTCTTAGACTCTTATTCTATTCTACTTCTAAAAGCTATACAACACAATGTTAAATATCAAATATAGCAAGTGATTTTCAACAAACTTTCACGCACCTGCTTAGTAATATAGTACTTGTGGATTTGCGCACTTGAAATGTCTTCTCCAAATAAGATATAGCTTGGGGGAAGAGTTTGTTCTGAACAGGACAAGAAAATCAAAGTCACCCAGCAGCAGTGCAGACACAACTCACCAGAAAGGTGAGTTACATGAAATTTGCCAGATGTTGTGGTACAGCAGAATAGGGATAACCCAGACTCCCCAAGAAGTTCAGTTATTATCAACATATTTAGGAAATATTTTGTTTCAGTGTTCCTATATTTTGTTATTGGAATTATGAAACGGGAAGGGAGCCAGTATTAATTTCAATGTAGAGCTTCAAAGAGGCTTTTAAAAACTATATACTCATTTCCTACTGATACCTTTGCACCCTGGATACAGCAAACACCTGTCAAATTACATTCAGAAGAACACTGGAATTATTTGGAATAGAGGCATAACCTATACACAAAACCTTGGTTTCCTTCACTAGAGCATATTAAATCGCTGGTATTCAAAGGTTCTAATTAAATTTGCCTTAATTTTATGCATATAATAAGATATGTACTCACAAAAAGGGGAAGCAAATATAACATACCTTTATAAGGTGTCTTTTCTCAAGCAGCAAGCTACATTTAAAAACCAAAACAATCAAGCTTTAGTTAATAAGGTTTCCATTCTCAGCCACGGAGACAAAAAAAAAAAAAAAAAAAAAGCTGCCGCAACATTATACTCACTTCTCAACACTAGTGTCATATACAATCTTAATCCTTAGCTGTTGATCCACGTTTCGCTTCGAGACATGATTTTCCTTGAGAGGAACTTGATACACAACCTGGCAAGGAGAGGAGCGGGCCGCTGGACGAGGCAGCTCAGCGGGACAGACACAGCACCCCGGGCCGGGCCCGCGGCTCCTTCTCCCCGCGGCAGCCCGCTCCATCAGCCCCTTCCCTCACCGGGAAGGAACCGCCCCGCGCCCGCCCGCCGCCGTCACCGACCACACCCGGGGCCGCAGGGCCAGACCCGGCACAGCCCGCCCGGGGGAAGCCGAGAACGGACGGACCCAACAGCGCGACCGGGGAGCGGGGCACCCTCTGCTGCCCAACAACCCCTCCCACCCGCGGCAGCCGCACCTGGTCACGGCTGGGCACGCGGTGGTCACAAGAAGAAGAAGCAGAGGGAGAAGGCAGCAGGAGCAGCAGCAGCAGGAGGAGGAGGAACCCGGCGGGGAAGGCGCTGAAGCCCGGGCGGGAGCGGCGGGCGGTCACGGCGCGCCCGCCGCCCGGCTCGGCGGCCATCTTGGAGTGCCCGTGCGCCGCGTCGCCATGGAGGCAGCGCCGGGGGAGCGGCTCCCGCCAATGGGCGAGCGGGGGGGGCGGGGCGGCGGCAGCGGGCGCTGCGGATCGCGCGGAGGAGGCGCTGAGGGGGAGGCGCTGAGGGGGAGGCGGCGGGCGGGGCGCGGGAGGGCGATCCGGAGTCTCAGGGTCATTGGGGTCGGGATGGGCTTCCGACGTCACCGAGCCCGGAGCTCAGCCAGCGCTGCCGTCCTCGCCACCAAAGTATGACCCCGAGCGCCACGTCTACACGTGTTTTTAGCGCTTCCAGTGATTCCACCGCTTCCCCGGGCAGGCCATTCCAGTGCTCGACCGCCCTTTCTGTGAAGTAATTTTCCCTAATTTCCACTCTAAACCGTTTGAGGTTTAAACCAATGAGGCGATTTCCGCTTGTCCTGGCGCTTGTAACGTGGGAGAAGAGACCGACCCCATATGGCGACAACCTCCTGTCTGCTATTTGTAGAGTGATAAGGTCACCCCTGAGCCTCCTCTTTCCAGGCTGAGACCCCCCCAGCTCCCTCAGCTGCTCCTCGCAAGACTTGTGCTCCAGACCCTTCCACAGCTCTATTGCCTTTCTCTGGACTTGCTCCAAGAACTCAATGCCTTTATTGTCCTGATGAGCCCAAAACTGAACACAGGATTTGAGGTGCCTCACCAGTGCCGAGCACAGGGGGATGGTCACTGCCCTGGTCCTGCTGGCCACACTATTCCTGGCATTCTTGGCCACCTGAGCACACGCTGGCTCATATCCAACCATCTGTCAACCAGCAACCCCACCCCCCCGATCCTGTTCTGCCTGGGATTTCATTTTTCATACACAGCAGTCTTTTTCCAGCTTCTCAGTCCACAAACACTGTACAACATAGTATCCCTACGTCTCTAATACGGAAATGACTAAAGAAACTTCTACCACCATCACCAGAGATGAAAATCATCTGGGTTTTTGTTGTGCTTCATCTTGCAGCTCCTTTCCACGGTGTTCAGGTATAATGAGGGCCCCACAAATAGAAAGTGATGGCTCACTCTGCAGCTCAGAGACAGCAGCGGGAGAAACCAGTGGATGCCTGGTGCTTTCAGCTAAACTGAGTTGCTCTGGCTGCTGCAGTGTTTCCACAGTACAGAAAAGCACCAGAAAAAGCAGAGAAGAGAGAAAAACATCCTCACCTTTTCACAGCGAGCAAAATCTTCTAAACCAGGAGTGGGTGGAACTTTGTTTAGCTTAAAATGGGAATTTATGCAGGACATTCATCTGAAGTGCTGCATGGGCATCTGCTGTGAAGAGCAGAAATTTTTTATATTGCCACCTACAGATACTGTAAGCCCTTTTCCCCTTTCCAGGCAATAAGAACATCCCAGTGGCGTTTTAAGACATCCTGGCAGCTATTTCCAGCATACGTCTTTTTTAGACTAAGGCAGAGTAATTTCACCTGGAGTTTTTATGCACAAACCTGTCACTGGGACAATACAGGAAAACAATTTTGTCTTCTAAACTTTTATAGCATCACTATAACATATTCAAATGTAAAGCAACAGTGAAAATGAGGTGTGTTCCTTTGTGTAAACAACTCAGTCGTACAATGTAGCTGTTTGAAATCACTTTTATTAAAACTCATGCATACAGGTTTTGATTGGCAGTTTTAAGAGTATCACCTGATTAACTGCACAGCATGCAAAGATGTACAAATGTCATTAGTTACTTGTTTTAGAGGACTTAAAAAAATTTCAAGTTGTTTAAACATGATGAGTTATGCCCCTCTAATTGACTCCCTGCAAATTGGGGAATAGATCTACAGAAGGGTTAATGTTTCAGCACTGATAAGATTAAATTAAAAGTCCCTGTTTACAGTCTTAAAAATTGCAGAGGCAGTGATTTTGTATATGGAAGCTCAATGTAGGTAATGCAGGGTACCATGGAGAATTCCCCTAAGAAACACGTATGAATACCTGTTGATTATGGTATAAATATCAACGTCCAGTAATTTATACCTAGGGAATAATGAAGTATGCCATATCAGGGTAAGGGCGGGGGGGGGGGGTGAAACAATGAGTGCAAAGTGAATGTTAAATATTGGAAATTTTTTTTCTTCCAGACTTTTAGCACCATCAAGGGTGAGTGGATTCCTGAGAATGACTGAAAACTCTGCTGGTGAGTGAGGTTATTAAAATCATAGAATCACAGCACTGTTGAGGATGCAAAAGACCTTTAAGAATCTCTCAGCATGGAGCATTTTGAACAAATCCTCACAGGGAGCCAAGCACTTGGTACTTTATGGTGAATACTGGAACAAGGTAGGTACACTGACCTACCCTACGACACTTACTCCTGGCCATAGGTAAGGCAGAGCAGTTCACTCTCCTGTCATTGCCCTCTGCCGGGCATAGGAAGAGGTTGGAGCTGTTCTCACAGCTCTTGCCTACATCTCTACATAACTGAATTTGAAATGTGAGCATTGAAATAGCATGTCCTAAAATACTGGCTTATGTTGATCCTCCTGTTGAAGACATTTAAACACATGGATAGATCAATAACTACCTAAAGAAACCTGAACATAAGACTAAAGAATTGCCATGTTAATTCCCATATGTAAAAAGGCACTAAAATTTTCCAGACTATTAAGGTTTTCTATTGTTTGAAAGTAATAAGGTATTCCGGATATGCCTGAATGTCATTAAAAACGACAAATATTGTTGGATTAGACACATTATCAACCACGCTGTCATACAGGTCAGTAGGGTCGGCTGGGTTCTTTGGTGGTGGAGTGACTAGTCCAGCAGTCCCAGCACAGTACTGCCCAGTGAGGACCCGAGCCAAGTACATGTGTTTTTTGCCATTCGAATCCGGAACGGAATACCGATCCTGAGCAGAATAACTCGCATTAGCAGCAAAGTAGGTTCCATTTCCAAAGGCTGCAGCTGTTTGAAAAGACAACATTTTCAAATAGTGTTCTTATTATCATAAGAATCTCTAAAGCTCTCCCCTTTTTTTTAACTCTGTAGATGTTATAAATTTAGACAGAAAACTCCATAATAATACTTTGTGTCAGAATCAAATATGAACCCACAAAGTTATCAGGTTCTAGCACTTTTACTTCCTGAGTAAATCCAACCTCCTGACAGGAAAGTGAAACTACGTCTCCAGTGGTCATGTTTTAGAAAGAAATTGTGGCTGCCATTCCTACCTGTGCACAACCTGATATATATTTTGTGTATACTGGGCTTCATTTATTCAAGAAAATCTCAGTGTAAGGACCTCCAGAGGATCCACGTAGAGAAACACCTACTTTTGGATCCAGGCCATACCAAAGTGTCAGCTAGGTCTGAGTTAAGCTGCCCAACTTGCTCAAGATCAACTCAGCTCTAGGCATGTACAATGAAGTCTTAAGGAAGAAGACACTAAGAACAGAAATTAAGGACTTTTGAAGTAAGGTGATGGGGCCTCTAAGAGCAACTAGCACCTCAATGCAGTCCAAGATCCACTTCTTTGGATCCTGTCCTTCAACTTCAAATGCTAGTAAATAATAAACACAACATGACTGTACTAGAGCAACTGGGCAAAACAATCTTTGAACTAAGGCAGAAAGTCTTTATGCTAAATATTTAATAATTGTCTATTAAATAATTCCTCTATCATATAGATTATACTCTGGAGTTGTTTATTATTTTGTTCTCCAATTTCATTCAGTCTTCATGTTGTGCTGACAGCACTATAATGTTGGCATTCCATAGCACCCATACATGTCTAGGAATGAACTGATTTGGATAATGACTCACCATTCTTTCCAGCAAACCCGCGATTAAATCCACAGTGGTTGATCTTGCTCAGCGAGGATGCAGTTGTCCCATGAAATAGAAACTTCTCATTATTTTCCCTTTTGTTCTTTTTACAGAGAGATTTTTTTCTTAATTGGTATGGCTGCCAGAGGGAGGGATTTTGTACTCTTTCAATCTGCAAAATTACAAAATTAACTATATTTACTCTGGTAGGGACAAATATTTATCATGGCAGGAGAGCATTAAAATGAAATCAAACTGAAAGAATGACAGTCATTTTCACTATGCCCTGTTAGTATGTGATTTGGGTAGGGGAACTGAAAATGAAAACCTCCTAAAAAATCAGAAACCAAAGAACATTACAAGAGATTTTCAGGCTTAGTAATTTTAAGCATATGCTTGTCTTGTCTCTCCAGTATACCAGGTAAGCAGCAATCATGGTAGCTGTGCATTGTCATTTCTAGAAACAGGCTGCTGTACCACTGCTAGGGGCAGTGTTGGAAGATGCCTTCTGTACATCTCAATCATCTTTACTGATGATTTCCTCACTAAGGGATAGGCTGTAGTGATAGCATTACACTGAATTTGTTTCTCTTCTAGATCTAAGCTTGAAAGTCAACCTTGGTTCCTTAAATGCATAGCTTATCTACCCATAAGAAATTCCTATATTAAAATAAATTGGTGGGAGGATAGATGTTGCTGGCTCCCTATGCCAACAGTGTGAACATAGCTCAAGGGGAAGCAGTGTCTCTGTATCACAGTATAACCTGAAAGGCATTGCTGTAACAGCTTTCCATTTTTAGTGGTAAAAGACATCATGCCATTACATGACTATAATCGGTGTTCTGTGTATATTTTCCTGACCATGTTGTAAAATAGTCTAAAAAGCTTTATGGTCAGTCTGCAAGGACTTTATATTTTTCTTTGTGTTCTGAACATGTTTGCTCATGCTTCCATTTCAATATAGAATTTTCTAATTGAAAATATCACATTAACTAGTGAGTACCACTTTAGTTGAACACAGAGTCAGGCTGAAGACTGATGGTCACTGTTGTTGCACTATTAGAAGGCAGAAATGGCAGAACAACTTTTAAGAAATTTACTTAGCTTTTTATCCACCCTCTATAATGCCAGGGAGACTGACATATGAAAGGTGTATTGGGTTGTAGACACCTTGCAAAAATATATTTAGAAAGTCTGTTAATGTTTCTATTCCAAGCATGGACATTTTCACCCCCATAAGATTTCACCTTCTCTATGGTAAAGTTGGCACAGGTTGTCCTAAACCTCTTCTCAACTGCTTTATAATTCGGATGCGATGGATTGAGATTTACCACTCTGACGTCTTCATCTTGCATGTCTTCCCACTCCTTAGGGAGCTCTGTTGATTGCATATATGTAAAACAGAGATTACGTTATTATGATAGAAAACTAGCTCAGCTTCGCAGGCACATCTTAAAACCAACTGCATAGAGGGGGCTAAGAGGGCAGTACTGTTCACAATACTTTATTCTACAAGTACTGTCAAAGTACAATGTTAAGATTTTACATTTTCTCTAGTCCAATTATCCCCATAGCAATATCAAACTAAAACAAACCGGAAAAACCCACTTCATACACCACTTCCTTTGTCAGACTTAAGCATGAAATCTGTGCTCACTACTCAACGTATGTCCGGATGGTGCTTAATTTTAACATTGATTGCCTGGTCTCAGTCATACCTGCCACTACTTAGGAAAATCAAAACTGCTAGCTATTGAGTGGCCAAAACATGCAAAACCAAAGAAATCACACAAACAAAAAAAAAAAAACCAAAGAAAAGGCAAAAAAACCTTTATGTTTTATAGGATTCCTGAGATGGCCTTTATCAGAAGCATCATTGATTAATCACTATAAACCTTTTTTGTTATTTAACACAAGTGTAATTCACCTTCATTCCTTGACACACGCTGAATGTTTATAGTTTTTCCTTGGTTATCACAAGCCTGTAGAGTATTCAGATCCACCTTGTAGTTCTTCTTGTTAATTTTGACATTAAGATATGGTTTTTTAGCTCGTTTGGCATCCTCCAGCTGCATATTTGTCCATTTATCGAAAGCAACAAAGGTATCATTGCTTCCTAGATACCTCCATTCTACCAGCTTAGAAAGAAGGTCTGCCTTGAATTGTTCTTCTTCAGCATCCTTCATTTTTTGGATCATTTGTTGAACTTCTACCAAAACAAAACAGACATCCCTGCTAATACCAGAAATAGTAATTTCTGGGGGAGAAAGTTTATTGTCAAGCTGAATGGTGACATGCTTCCTTCTCTGGAGCTCTGCCAAAGCAGCAATTTGCCTCTCATCAAAACTTTCAATTAGCTCATTTGAAATAGTTGTTTCACTCTGTTCCTTTAAAATTAAATCCTTTATCCAGGACTCAGCTGCATCCACATTTTCTTGGCTTTCTCCACAAATTTGAAACGTGACTAAATTGACTTTCTTCTCCAAAATCACGGGCTTTTTCTTCTCGGTAGATTGCTTATTGCCCCAAAGGAAGGCTGTAGATAAATATATGTCAATTATTAGTTGTAAACAGAAGAACTCCAATTTGCCCATGCACACGGAAAACCCACCTACTTACATTTAACTATAGAAGACCATGGACTCTGCTGTGGATGAATCCACATCTTCTCTTTTCTTCATGCTTTCATAAAAGTCCTTCAGCATATTTGTCTGGAAGATGACGATTTTAATTGTCTGCAAATGCTGTACTGATTTTTCGCTTGCAAACTCCACTATGGCATCCAACATTTCATCAGCCACCTTTGCTGGACTCTGTCCTGCTCGACCTAAACAAAAAGAAAAGGCACGCAGCAGTGAACAGTTTCTTGTACAAGTCTACTCTTCCCCATATTAACTTTTCCCCAGTTTCTGAACTATCCCCATCACAGCCCTCGTTGCTTGCCCAAGAAAACACAAACCTGTTCCAATAGCTGGGAAGGCAACAGAGTTGTACATCTTTTGCTCACACTCCTTAAGCACTTTGGAGACCTGACCCTTCACGTCGTTATTGGAAATCAAGTGAATGATTTTACTGCATAACAGATTTCCACCCTGTGTGGTAATAAAGCCACTTTGATGCTGCCCAGCTGGAAGAGAGAAGATAAAGAAGGAGACATTTTCAAAGTGCCTATCTCTTCTGGTATGACAGCTGGTTCTACTGATCCTTGAAGAGAACATGAAAAAGTGGAAAGAGATCTACTGTGAGCTACATTATCCTGGGTTTCCCTGATTCTCTGGTTTTCTCTGTAAATACAGAATGCAGAGATTCTTTGAGGAATCAGTTCAAGTAAATGTGTGAGATCTCAATTTCCTGAGATCTGTGCTACAAAGCAGTTTCCTATTTAAGAATTTCCAATTTAAGAATTCTTAAATTTCCCATTGAAGAATTTAGGATGACTTTCAATACAGCTCACTTTTATTTCAAAGCATGCCAAATTCATTTCTATGAGAAATCCTTTCTTATGCCACTTCTTTTCTTATGAGCCTTTCTCAGCTCATAGAGGCCAACCCCAGGGAGCTGGAATTTTACGGCTCTACTGTTCTGCCAGAATGCAGAGAACAGAGGAATTATGATCAGGGTTGTCCTGGTTTCAGCTGAGTTAATTTTCTTCTTAGCAGCTGGTACAGGGCCGTGTTTTGGATCCAGGATGACAATAATGTGCATAACACACTGATGTCTAAGTTGTTGCTAAACAACTGGGAAAAGAAAAATTCTCAAAGTAGGTGTCAAAACAGGAAGGGGACTTTTCAAAATTCCAGAAAGTGAAAGCTGTCTTTTTCAGGTAAAACAGTTATGCCATCAGAATAGAGAATTTTAAAAGAACTTTACGTTTTCAGAGAGAACAACAACAATAACAAATAATCAAACCAAATAGTGTGTATCAACATGCATCAACATACCATATTGAGCACATTCGTCTACCACCTGGCAACCAGCAGCATCCATAATGGCTTTGAAGACCCCTTAAATCACACAACAAAAGCACAGACATTCATTAAGACACCTATCTCTACTCAAAACTCTGCCCAACTTGTGTACTCTACAAATGCCCTAAATTCTTGTATGGCAGGATCCCACAAAGTGCAAAACCTTGACCATTCCTCTAAGTACCCTCCATGACACACTGCACTGGCTGCAGACACAACACTGCCTTCACTGCTGATTACAAATCATTAAGAACAACTCCTATTTCATCGTTTCCCCAGCTAAACCCATACGGCCTTCACCAAACTCTCCCATGGCTTTGCATTTTCTCATTTGGTATCCTTCACGTGTCTCATTCACAATGTCAGAACCCTCTGCTTCTTACAGGTCAATTTACTTAACCAGGACTTTGCCTTATAATGAAACATTTGAGGACACGAGCAGTTTTTCAGAATTCTACTTGATCTGAAAATTCCCTTTTATTTAAACACTTTTGGTTTCAAGCAAGAAAAATCTGGTCAGATGCCGTCTACTTGGAAACTAAACCAAATATTCAGGACATGTAAAACAGCTATTTAAGATCTATTTCAGGATTAATCACAAATCCCTCTCTCTCATCTGAAAAATATTTCATAAAATTTTCCTTATGGACAATTCTTTCCCATACCCCCTTCTGAAAACTAGCTCAAATTTATCCCTAAAGAAGTACATCTTTAATACAATACCTGTTCTGGCATCAAATGACGAATTTGCTATGTTCACAATAACCTCTGTATCTTCCTTGGTAATATCTCCACTAAGTACTTGGAGTGCGATGGAACCAATCTTCATTTCATAAACTCCCAATACTTCAGTAGAAACAGGGCTAGTGAAACCTGAAAGGGAAAGAACATATCTTCAACCACTTCTCCTCTAGCTTGGGATATTATTCTCTTCCACTGATGGAAACTTCTATTTATCCTTTTAAGGAATATGCTCTAGATCGTTTGATGGATGTACACTGTCTCTGCTTTTCTCTTGACTCCATTTCTGACAGCTGGAAGGCACGGGATGCTTCCTGCTTAAAGGCTCTCAAAGTGAAACCATTTTCTATTCCTGTAAATTCTTGCAACATCAATCCAGAAAATGGCCTCAGGGTTTGTCTGATCTGACCAGCTCTGTAACACAGTTTCCTGAATTAACTCTTACAAGAAATGGAGTATCCAGCTTAAGCATTGCCAATAATGGAGAACCCATCACATCAGTTTTGCAAGTTATTTCATCTTTACCTTCACAGCTACAAAACTCTTCCTTACTTCTAGTCTAAACTTCTCTAAGTCTTATTTTATCTGCACACTCTTAACTTCATCTCCCTGGGACTCAGCAACTGAGAAGAGTGAGCTGGATATCCTTAAGAATAAGCCTCTGCCCTTGGTGCAGTTCACTCAGGTGCTTTTGCTATTGGGTCACATCCATTCTGTGTATATCTCTCTCTAAAGAGGAGATTAAAGGTACAGAAATACATGTTATTCATGGCTTGTTTGGCAAAGTTCTCTCACTCGGGTTTCCTATTGGGACACTCTCTTCCATAGGATAAGATTGGCCTCACCAAGAGTCGAGCACGCCCTCAGCAAAAGGAATTCCTACAGTTTTTAAAAATGGCATTTAAGAAGAAAAGTCCATTAGGAGGCAGCCCAATGGGAGGAAGAAAAATGCCCTGTGCCCTGATGATATTTCTCTTGTTTCCTGATACATATAAACCCACTCAAACAGTATTTACATTCTCCCCCGTGCCCACCTCCTGCCCCTCCACAACTTACTTGGCTGTGGTGCTGCAGCACTGCCACTTGCAGCTATCCTATGTTCTAGTTCAGTGTTAAAAGCCTAAGGAGAGAAAAAAGGTACCAAAGATAGTATTTCACAGTTTATACATGGAATGTTTCTATAAAGGATTAACAGCCACTTAGCCCTTGCTGAGCCCCCTAACAGAATTTACAGTCACATTCAGGTGTCACTAATAAGAGCAGAAGACCCAGCTAGACAGTGTGATAAGAGATAATGTCTCTGAATTGCCAGAACTCCTCTGTCAAAAGACGAGGGAGCATCTGCAGCCATTTACAGCCAGCAGTGAGGCCAATTTTGCCTGCATATTGTGCTTGCTGAGAGTTTATATTTCAGAGACACTGAAGAGACATCCCACTGTCAGTGACCCACAGCAGTAAGAAAGTGCTAAATTATTCCCTTAAGAAAGCAATATGACTAAAATATATTAGTAAGGCATAACCAGAACAGTATGTAACATAGACAGCTTTGTCCTGGGAAAAACTACCTGAATGCTATCAATGTCTTTTGGATGCAAGAGAAAATGAACTTCCTGGAGATTCTTCACAGTGTGACTTCGACTGAACTCAAACACCACATCAAACATTAACTTAGAAACAAGGCTTTTAGGAAATCCAAATCCACCAGTCCCAATAGCTGGGAAAGAGATTGATTTCAGTTTAAGTTTCTCAGCTTTCTTCAAGCAGAAATTGATTACATCTTCTAGGACCTGAAAAACACAGCAAAGATACTTTTTTTTTAAGGCATTATTCATTATTAGTATCCATTATTAGAGAGTAACCAGTAGGTGAAGGAGCTCTCAGGGCATCAAGGCATCTTTAAGGTCACTCTAACAGAAGCAAATGGAGCCAAGCCATCTAAATTAACTAAGCGAAAACCTGAAACTTCAGGACAGATCTCAAACACATCTGTTTTCAAATTTATTTATTTTATAATTTAAAGGTACCTTCTCTGTCTGTCCTCCATTCCACCCGGGTAGTATGGCATGAAACACGGAGCTGCAGGCCAGAGCATGTCCGCTGGTGCAGACCACACTCCCTGGACCAGAAGCCTGACTTTGTTTTTCTTTGTCAAACTCTACTTGGAGTGCTGGTCCAGCTCTTTCCAGCAAGGCTTTGCAAAGAGGCCCCACACCAAACTGCAGATCTGGGCCAACGCTGTTGACAACAACATCCGTCTGCAACAAGATTACAGCAAAAATATCTGTAACCAGACTTGGAGTCAAAATATGCATCCAGACAAACAGCACCGCCAAAGCCATACACGGCATAAGGAACAAGATGGCCCTGGAGCAATAACCTGGTTTTCAGCACAGCCTGTGGACACTGAGTCTTCCTGGACTTGTAGGGAATCTGTGGTAGGCAGCATCAGACCCACTGTGAATACCAACACCACAAGTACTATGTGTGAGCAGGTCATCCACCCATCCATCCATCCATCCATCCATAGCTCTCAAGGCCTCAGCAGAGGTGAAGCTGTGAATCACTTTATCCTGAGCAGGCACCAATGTTTTTGGGCAAGTGAAATAAACCCATCCTCTGCCATTTATCGCATCCCCACTCCCCAGATCCAGACTTCCCTCCATTTCCTTGTGAAGAACCACTGCAGTATTGCTCCTTCTTCTCCAGCATCATCACAGGATGCAAAACATAGGTATTGTATAAGGTAAACCTAATGTAGAAAGTTTAATGTCCCTTTCCTCCATTTCACTGATGTGGGATTGTCTACACCTTATCAGAAAAGCAGCACCTCATGCACCAAAATGAGGAGAAGGGAGGTAGTTCTGCTGTCATGAAGTAAACCGGTGAAATCCTGAAGTTTGGTGATTGCTTTGCTTTTTTGCACTGGAGATGTTTTAACTACAGAGTATTTTGATATGTCATACTGAGGTTCTTTTCATATCTGGTATTGCTTTCTTGGAATCAGCTTTTACAGGCACCAGCATGGCCACTGAAATGGCAGGATAATTATAATAATAGTAACTATACTCCAAAGTATGACAACCAGCAGTTGTTGAAAAAGATTTATCCCAAATGCACTCTATATCATTGAAGAAAAAAAAACATAAGGGGAAACCTACATCACAGGTGTAAATTGAGTCTTGATGGTCTAAATGAGTAGCACTTAAACCCTTTGCTAGCAAAATGAATAAAAAAAGAATAATGGGAGACATTTGGTCTGGTAAAACGACCTAAGCATGGACTCATTTATGGAGTCTCTTCTCTAAAACTCAGTAAATTCTTCACAGGCTGTGACTTTCAGCATCCAATGAAAAAGGGAAAAAAAAAGAAGAAACCTCCATTCTCCCTGTTAGCCTTCCCAAAACAGCAGCCCAGGCAGGTACTGATTTACCATAATATCCAACCAAGATACCTGCAGATCATCATGTTAAAAACAATTATAATATTTTCCCTCTGGGAAAAAAGCAAACGATTTTACATGTTGGCCTTAGATCTAGAAAAAAGGAAAGCAAGACCGAGCTGAGAATGAAACATCCTAACATTCACAGCTGCCCTCTAGAAACAGCTGCAGAGGGACAGATCCCAACTTGCCCTCAGTTTTGCAAGGTAGCATCCCTGTTTAGTTAGCACACAGCTTGTTTCCTTACATAGCAAGTGCCTTGTAAAACAGTATGACCTACTGTTCTTCCTTTTTAATTTAAATTTCAAGAAGATCTTACCATAAAGGTAGAGGGCAAGCAGAAAATCGAAGACATACCGTGGCTTCCTGAACGTTTTTCTCCTCTACATGGATGCAAAGTCCTTCATTGGTTGTAACCATCTTCACATCCTCTTTTGTCTTCTCCTTCTGCCTTTTTCTCAGCTTATAGCTTTCCACATGTGGTTTTGGGGAAGATGATTTACCTGAAAACACTTCTTTTACTGTCTCACTTAGAACCTGAATGGTTCCTTCTGCATTATCCACAAGGTGAACCTCCTTCAAGCTGCTGTCCCCCATGGATCCTTCCAAGGTCTCCTTGATGGCGGATGCAATTGATTCTGCACATGTCTGCAGTGGAAAGCCAAAAATGCCTCCGCTTATAGCAGGCAGAGCTATGGAACAACAATTGTATGTTTCAGCTAGTTCTAGACTTTTCTTCACTGCCTTTTTTAACAACCATATACACTTTTCTGGGTCCTCCTTCCTCCACCTGGGCCCAACAGCATGAATGACATTCTTGCAGGGGAGATTCCCAGCGCCTGTGAGAACTGCGCTCCCGGGCTGGAAACGCCCGATCATCCTCACCCGCTCATCGCACTCTTCTTGCAGTGCTGGACCAGCAGCTCTTGACAGTGCCTCAGCAAGGCCACCAATGTGCTTTAGGTCTTCATTAGATGCATTCACCACAACATCAACAGGATAATCACTCAAGTCACCTTTATACACTGCTACTACAATGCCATGTGGCAGTCTTGTTTTGTAGTAGAGCTTTCTTTTCGCTTTATCACCCTCCCATTGTTGTTGTTTTTCTTCTTCTTCCTTGATCCTAATGAAACAGCTAAATTTCTGCTTTGCCTCAAAAACACATGAATCTTTTCTCTCAATGAAGAACTCTTTGGCTCCTGGCTTATCAATTAGCACATTTTTTGAGTAAAGGGATGAGACAAGGTTTTCAAACATCTTTACTGCTTCTGGCACTTCTGCTCTTGGTCCCCTCAGGGAAATACATGGTGTCTTGATGTCATAACGTACTGTCACACCTTTCTTCCTCAAGTCACAATAAGAATCAGATTTCTCCTTCTCTATGAACTCTACCACCACTGAATTTGCTGGGATTGTTTCTTCCACAAGCGTGTTTTTATCTATAAAATCATTAAGCTTCTGATAAACCTCTCTGACAGCCTTAGAAAAGCCAGCAATCATCACTTTATTTTGTTTTCCAACAGACTGCTCAGTGATTACCATTTCCTGGGAAGAACTGTATGTCTTGTGCAAGGAGACAAGAAGTTTCTTCCACTGCTCTTTTTTAATGACCTCACCGTCCTCCACATTGATGCACTTGGATTCTAAGCCGGTTTTTATTTGCTTTTCTGCTTCTAAAAGATCTCTGCGAGTATCTCCGTACAGCAGCACAGTATCCTCCTCAAGTTCATAAAAGCTATTAATTTTTTTCTGAAGGAATAACGTATCTGATGTCTTTTTATTATCTAAACCCTGTAGATAGTGGAAAACAAGGGGTTCAATGGACACTGATGCACAAGGCATACTCAACACCTTTTCCAGTAAGTCAGCTTTGATTTTATAGACTTCCGCAGGCAATCCACACAACTGAACAGCCTTTTTTCTGTCATCATAAAAGATCTTGAGGCACGGATATTCCTTGTGAATATTCTCTTCTAACCCAGCATTGTGCAGCACAGCATACTTCCCTGGGGTCACTGGCACAGAAATTTCTATGCTTTGTTTTTCCCTTTCACTTTGCTTCATGGCCTTTTCCATGCATTCCCTCACTTCCTTCTCTGCCCTCTCCACTGCTGCTCTGCTGCCTGCCATCACCACCACGTCCTCAGAAACATCAGTTACCATCATAGAAACATCTTCCAACAACCTGTTTCTCACATCTCCCCAATCTGCTGAGTTTACTTTACATTTTATAGCTGTGTAACGTGCCATGATACGTGAGAACTCAGTAGAAGCATCTTGCTTCCACGTCTTGATCAGCTTAATCATTGTCTTGTTCTGCTCGGAGAGAGATGATGATGGGCACAATGTGACTTTGGGGTTTGCATGGTCTGCCTGGGGCCACTTGAGCTCACAATGGCAAACTGCCATTTCCTGGTTTATGCCTCGGATCAGGTTATCGTGCCTTTGTAAAAACTGCCAGACATACGGGTCTAGTGGCACCCCAACGGGGTCTGGCATCCTGATAGTTGGTCTTTCTCCTCCATAGAGAGCTGTTCCCAGGGACTGGTAATAGGGATGCACAGAAATCAGCGTCTGTTCCAGCAAATGCTGCTTTTCCAAGACCGTGTTTACATCTGAAAGGCAATGCACATATGTACACACATACAGATATTATTAACTTCAGTTATTCAGAAAGTTAACTGTGAAAGCTGAAGTCATGGACAGATCCTACTCTCTCTACCTGTAGGTACAATTAGTGCTGTATTGCAGACAAAGACCTCTGCAAATGGGCAAAAAACACTACTGCAAACAAACCATGCACAAAGCAGGTATTAAAAGGAATCTTTGATAAGATAAAAATAAACACCAAAAAGAAACCAAAGCAGGGAAAACCACAAGAGATTCTGAAACCCTAGACATGCAGCAGTATTGCTAAATCCAGAGCACTCAGGAAGAAGACAGCACACGCTGACTTTGGTGACAGCAAGCCAGGCTTTCCCTAATGACCGAATCTGCAGTGATTTGCTTGCGGGTTGTCTGCCTGTGAGCACCTTGGTCAGGTGCAGGACAGTGTTACCTTTGGGATCACAGAAAGCAATGATGGCCGAGTTCTCCTCAGGGAAGTGCTGGACATCTGACACAGGCCCCCCTCCATTCCGCACACTCTCAAAGTAAACTGTGAGGTAATCTGGGGAAAGGCTGTCCGGCAGGTTTTCGGCCTTGATGCTCCGTGTCAGTTCAAGAACCCTGGCAGTCATTTTGAATTCTCTGACTCTCTTGTGCTGTAAACATTTTTTCACAAATTCTTCAGTATCTGTAAAGAGAAGAGCAGTATGAAGTGACCATGTTTTCCTGGGTCATTATCAGCCTCAGCTATCCGTCCTGGAGCCCAGTCTCCCACCTGTCCCTGTACTTGGAACAAAAGTGTCTTGGGTGCCAGATATCTCTGTGTTGTAATAAAAGGGGAGAAGCACACACCAGTGTTACTCTCTGTTATTCACTACCACTATGTCTCTGCTCCCATCTCACAAGTACCCTCTCTTCAAAAATGAGACCTTATACAGCTCAACAACCTGCAAAAATCCCCACACTCAGTGCACTTCTAATTCCTCTTCATCTAACCCAAGCCCAGATGGAAACAACGAACCACTCTCATCCAATTTCAATGAATGGAGACGCCACCATTTTACTTTCCTCAGTGTAACACTGGGGTCACGGGCACTTTTGCGGAGCTGTATGTAAGACATCGTTCCTGAGAGAGTGCAACCCAGGTACTTTCACAAAACAGTCTGGATCTCTCACAGGAGAGGAATCAAGCTCTGAAAGTTATTACTCGTACATATACATGGCGATGAGTGATGGAGTCCCCCTCTCTTACCAATACTTTTTATAAAGGTAGCTACAGCAACATTTATTTCAGGTATCACTTCCACAGTGAAGTCCTCATCTACAGTCAGGCCGCTGATGTTCTCCAACAGCAAACGTAAGCAGTTTGGACTGCATTTTTCTAAGTTTTCAAACACCACTGAAGGTGAGGTCTCTGCACAGCCAGCGTCTTCCTCGAGTTCACCACTTGGAGCAAAACTCTCTGCAGCACAAAGAGAAGTCAGTCACAGAAAGTGTCGGTACACATTTCCTGGAATAAACAGATTCTTCTTACCCTTTCTCTCCTTTTCTTTCCCAAGAAAACAGATTGTTAACCAAACAAGTTCTGCAGGGTACCCCTGGACATTTTGGGATCCAAAACAGCCCAGATTCAATATTCTGCAAGTTGCAGGCACCTTCTTTGGTGGCCCAAAAACAGCCACAACTAAACAAGTCCAAGGTCACTTTGTTTTGTGTCTTGGGGCCAGAGATTAAACTCAACTAAAATCCAGTGAGATCATTTGCCACGGCTGCTCAGCTGTCAGTAGGGATTGGTTGCAGCCTCTGCAGCCTCTGCATCTGTTTCTTAGCCCTGGTGCAGGTGTAACAAGGCTGAACACAGCTCAGGACATCCACAGGCACCACAGGCCACCAGTAGTCCTGCATGACTCCATGTAAAGCTCCCTGATGACCACCATGCCCTGCCATCAGTGCAGCATGAAGTTAAAACCAGGCCCATTGTCCAGGTCTGGCAAGGTGAACTCCATTCGTGGTGATCAAGTCTGCAGTGCCCCCACACAGACATTCCTTCCCTGTATCACCTGAGTCACAGTACCAAACTCAGGAACTTTCAGCAAAACTGCCCACAGAACTGGAGCCACGTATGCAGAAAAGCAACAAGATCTTTGTTTTAGGAAGAATCAGAGAGTGAGGATAGCATTTTACCTTTTGTTTGAAGCTTGCTCATGGCATCCAGAGCCTAAAATAAAGTGAAAGCAAAATATTAGTGACAGATGTGATTCTGTTACCACTGTTTCAGAGGTCTGGTTGAGATTATAATTTTTGTTCACCTTTGTGGGAGCTAGTTTTTCTTCAGGTGTCTCCTCCTCAGTAGCTAGTGTGCTTTCTGGCTCTGTGACAGTCAACTTCACTATGCCTTTTCCTTCCAAATGCAACTCATGAGGCTGTTTCTGAAGAACTCGTTGCTTCACTAAATAAAACCAAAACACCCAAGTGAAAATCTGAATAGAAATACAGCTTTGGACTATGTAGTGCTTTCCCACCATTACATTAGGACACTGTCGTGGTTTAGGAATGGCATTCCTCAATTTATTGTTTCCACTGAAACACCCCACATCACGTGCCGCTCGCTCAACACTCCCCACCCCTGCACTTCCTGGTGACAGGATGGAGAGCAGAACTGGAGACATAGAAAATTAAAGATCACAGTGTGAGCTAAGGACATTTTACTAGAAATCAGAAAAACGGGCAGTAACATCCCCAGTACTAATAGCAGAGTGTACAAGAGAGGTGAGCACTTCAGTCACCATTGCTCACCCAACCGCTTCTTGTGCCAAGCACTGGAAAACCACCCTCCCTCCCCGTTCCCCTGGCGCTTGCTGAGGTTGGATCAAATATCCCCTGGGTCCTGGCTGTGCCCCTCTTGGCTGCTGCAAAAGTTATCCCTGTCCTAGCCGGACCCAGGGCAGACACATTAGCTGTCCCACGAAATGAAAGAGCTTTCAACTCCAACACTAACACAGTACAAACAAGGCGTTCTGCCTGAAAAGAAACGGAAGAACAGCAGAGGACATTATTTCCCCGAAGAAACACGAGAGGTGCAAAGCTCAGCTCTATCACATGTTTCACGTTGGTAACCACCCCCAACCCTTTCACATCCTCTTCCAGCCAGTGCCAAAATGGCTTGTGGCTCTATGTGCTGAACTTACCGGCTCCTTGAGTCAGCAACTGGGAAGCATAAGGCAAGGAAAAAAGTATACATAATATATCTGTGTGTGTGTGTTTAAGGATGTACATGCATGTATGTACACATCTAACTCAACTGCAGCTAAATCCTTTCCACCTGGCTGCAAGTTTAGAGAAATACATGCATGTTATATATCAGGGATTCTTTAATATGTATCTGTAGCTACTACATATATTGTTTGATTAACGTAACCGGCAGATGAACCTTAGGATTAAAGGGTGGGCTCAGTTCCGCGCACACTGTGTCTCACCTAAAAAATCCAAATGCACAGGCTGGAAGGTGTAAAGACCTTCCCCGGATCTTCGCTCGCGAAGACTGGCCATTATTAACATAACCTTTATTATCCCAAGAGCAATCTGGACAATACTACTGTGCATCAAGATTAATATATATGCATATATAGCTCGTAGGATATATTTATTAGCTTACAGCCTTTCTGCAAAATCTAGAGGATAGTACTAAATACCAAATCAGAGCATATAGATAAGAAAATATCACAGAATCACAGAATCTTCTGAGCTGGAAAACACCCACAAGGATCACTGAGTCCAATTTAGGTCCTGCACAGGACATCCACAAGAATCCCACCATGTTTAGAGACTATCTACACTGTATCTTATGGGGTGTATACGGCATCTATGTACTATAGATACTGTATATCACGTAGTAGACAGGAGATATTATTACAACAACTAAGTTAGTACGTATCTTTTAACTTGCAGGAACTTTAGGCTTGTGAGCTGTCTCTCGCAACACACTCTCCCCGCAGGGAGCCCACACGATGATCCTTAACACCCCGGCCCCTGGACCCGCCGGGTCACCCGCCCCGACCCGCCCGGCCCGGCCGCTCACCCTCGGGGCTGGCGAAGCAGACGAGGAGGTGGCCGGTCCCGGTGTCGGCGTCGGTGCCGGCCCGCAGCTCGCACTCGCCGCCTCCCGAGCGCTTCTGGCTCTGGAAGTAGCAGAGCAGCTTCTTCCTCAGGGCGGGCGGCGGCTCGGCGGAGCCCCAGTCCCCGCGCACCAGCAGCGGGAAGGCGCCCGGCCGCTGCCCCGCCATCGCCGCACCGACGGCTCCGCTCCCCGCCGCTTTCGCTTTCGATTCCCGGCGCGCCGGGCCGCGCCTTTTCCCGGCAGGCACCCGCCTCTCGGGGCTCCGCCGCCGTCTGTCGCGATACACCTGCCCCGGGCCGGCTCCTCGGGCCCCCCGTCGCAGCCTCACACCCGCGCCCTTAAATTTCCCTCCCCCTCGAACACCCAGAGCTGCCTCGGGCACCCCCTTCACCCGACAGAACGTCCTCTCTGCCCCTGTGCCGGGGCCTGCCAGCCCGTGTCGCTGTTGTCCCAAGAGTTCTTTTACCCGCTGTGCAAGAGGCCAGTCCACACACGCAGTCGAGGCATTTCATTTATTTACAGGTGTGTGCAGAAAGAGGCGCTGAGTGGCAAATCCACAAAGCCAGCACAGAGGCTACCAAAGCGGTTTCTTTCACTGTTTATCCGTTTTAGCAAACAAAGGCAGTAACGTTCCTTGGCTACAAGTTATTTAGTTCTCTTATTAATTAGTCTCCTTTTATCTTTAACGTTTGTCTTGCTTTTCATGCCAATTAATCCCCATGCTCTCAGTCTGTCTCTTTTTTTTTGGGTCGGTGTGTTTCTTCACTCGGTGGTCCAAGGGAGTTGGTGGTCGTGTTCTCCCTTTCCAGTAATTACCATTACCCCAGGCAAAGCTGATTCAGCACAGTTGCTGAATTATCTGCATCCTACCAAATGTCCATGTGGCGTTCTTTGTTTTTGTAACCTCACCCCAGGTCTGAGATCATTGAAATATGTCTAGCCTTAAACCTTAACAAGGCAATTCTACCAACAAGTACTTTGGACAGCAATTACAGCTTGCTTGCTCTAATGGGTTCTTCAGCCAGTGAGTGGGTGGGCACTAGAAAAGGCTTCCCCATGACTAGGGAAGTGGTCACAGCCTCAAGCCTGCCAGAGTTCTAGAAGCATTTGGACAATGCTCTCACAAGTGCAAGGCCAGAAGATGCACTTGATGATCCTTGAGGATCCCTTCCAACTCAGGATATTCTACGATTCTTGGTCCCTTTGTATGCCCCGACCGCCCACCTTTGCCTTTTGATTAGAATAGTCTGGAGAAGTAACACCTGTCATTCATTGCCTGCACAGAGCCCAGTGCTACAGGCTTCTGTTCTGTGCTGGATGCCCATGGCATCTGTCATGCAAGCACTGGTGAAAAAACACCTTGGTGTCCTCTGCAGTTTCTAGTGGCAATGGGAAACTGAGAACTGACTCAGTACTGTCTTCTGGAGGGAATGCTCAGACCGGTGACCCACCAGCTGCAATGAAACACCTGGAGCCATCTCCTCTGGCTCCTGGCACACTGATGAACTACTGACCATGGGTATTTATTACAGGAATTTAATAACGTTTATTCATTGTAAAAGTAAAACTTTAAACTTTTGGCCCCCCATAATCACATCTTGATTTCAAGCTCCAGGTGAAATTGGTTCAAGACACTTGATTTCAACAGTTAGCATTTTTCAGTGGTTAGAAAACTCACAAAACAAAAAGCAGTGAGGCCCAATGGGAGTTGTTCCAGCACTGTCACATTGGGATGGGTGCAAATGAACAGCCTGATGTTTATGGCTCTACTGAGATACTTGAATTGCAGGTTCCCACCACTTCACAGCAACCCAACTAACTACGTAAAGAAAGTACTGGAAGACTTTTTTTTCTTAATCATCTAACCAAATAAGTCAAAGCCGACTCATTCAGAGGAGCTAAGAGTTTTCAGTAGTTGGAGGTACTGCAAAGCAGTAGGTTTATGATATTAAAAACAAGTCAATCCATATCTGTAACATCAAGTTCATTGAAGTTCAGTGGTTGAAAAATCAATGCTAAATGTTCTAGAGGTCTAGACAAACATAAGCCATTAACTATGACTAGTTCATTTACTGAAAACCACTGTGTCATAATCCACAATGAGATTGTCACTTATAGAGTGTAAGAAGGCATCAGAAATGTAATACTGGACAGTCTGTGGCTGCACTATCCATTCCCATTCCTCATCAGCAATTAGGAAGGCCCTAAGGCTTCATGGAAAGGATGATACAGTACAAAGACTCAATATGTAATCTAGAAGAAGTTTTCAGTACAAAGTTATGCTCAAGTGTTAAAATATGCTCAACTGCTCCAAGTGTAAACAAGAAGTCTACTTCAGGGGTATCAGAAATTGCCAGACTTCTTAAATGGAAACAGAAATTAATTTGATACAACTAATTATTGTTTTATCATTGTGGTTTTTGTTATAGGTGTCATGTGTTTCCGTCCTACACACAGGTTGACAGACCTGCAATCGTGGTTGCAATTAAAACACTTATTTAGTGAAAGTGATAAGGTATTCTGGGTAAGCTTGAATGTCATTAAAAATTACAAACATGGATGGCTGGTTCACATTATCAGTCGAACTATCATACAGATCTATAGAGTTACTAGGATTTTTTGGTTCTGGAGTGATTGATCCTTTTTTGCCCTGAGAATATTCTCCAACAAGGACTCGAGCCAAATACATGTACTTCTTCCCATTTGTATCTGGTTTAGAGTAGGTGTCATGCGCAGAATAGTTGGCGTTAACAGCAAAGTATGTTCCATTTCCAAAGTTTGCAGCTGTAGTCAGAAAAACAAATGTCTGTGAGTGTTTCAGTAGCAGCAATCCCTGTATCTGCCACCTTCAGAGCCAGTGAATTTGCTTTTTCTTTGCAATACAGAGATACAACAAAACAACTGATTTTGCAAGGCAGGACTATTCAGGTGGCATGGCAAATCAGTCCTAGCCTCATTAAGGAAAACAAGGGTTGCTTTGATAGTCACTTTACCGTGCAGTCCAGCATAGCTCCGGTCAAATCCACGGTTGTTAATTAAGGTTAACGACTCTTTACTCGTCCCATGAAAGAGAAGCCTCTCATTATTTGTGTTGCCATTTTTGTTATCCATTTCACGTTTTTTTATTTGGTAGGCCTTCCAAAAATATGGGTTCTGTACCCTTTCGATCTGCAAAGTTTGAAAGTAAGAAAGACAGAGAGAAAGAGGGTAGGTTGCTGTCACGAAAAAAATTTGCACATAGACAGTTTAATCTGCCAGGATTCCCCTCCTAGCTCCAATTCTTTTATACCAAATCATGAAACAAGTCAGTCAAATCCTTCCAAACTTTGGTAGGCAGACAGCAGAACCCAGACCAGAACACAATACAAACACTCCATGGGAAACGATATAGGAGTGTTTTGCAGGTTTCTGGGCCAGAGATGACCCCCCTGCCTGCTCAGCACACACAGCTTCTGTGGGCAAATGCTGTGCTCTGTTACAGCAAAAACCATTCCAAGAGCTCTCTCCCCTGGTGCTGAAGAAGCAACTGCCTAAGAGCTGCTTCAGATACCCCATTAAACTGATGCTGATTGAAGTTAGTGACAGCCAGTAAGACTTGTCCAACGTCAGAAATCCCAGTGGAATTTCTTTTTCCATTGCTGTCAGTATCCTTTATCATTTACCATCAAAGTATTTATGCTCAGAAATGGACATGCTTTTACCTTTTCAATTCTGAATGACTGACAGGTCTGCAGAAACCTTTCCTGCACATCTCTGTACTCTCTTGTTTCTGGTCTTAGTTCCACTATTTTGAGTCGCTCATTTTCCATATTGTCCCACGTTCCAGGAAGCACTGTTGACTCTTGATCTGCAGAAGAAACATGATCAATCATATTTACACAAATCCCCTGCTTAAAATTCAATGTGCCTCCTACAAATCCTTCTAAAAGCCCATACGTCTTGCTTATAGATGAGTCAGAAAGAGGTAGCTCCTTATCAGGACGAGCAGTAAATAGAAAAGATACATCTCAAAACCAGAAGTAAGCTGAGAGCTAGAATGACAACTACAACAAACAACTAATTATCGCTAGAAAGCTTGTTAAGAACCTCAGCACACATTACACACTTTTCAAAATATTTTAAATAACTGCAGGGTTCTTTTATTTTTATTTCCCAATTCAATTCCTTTCTACATTCTCCAGAAAAGCACCTGCACAAAGCTTACAATATTGTTACCATTTCTTCTCTTACTAGTCTGGATGCAACCTGGTTTTCACATGGGAACCTCAGATTGTCAAGATGCTTTTACTTACCTTCAGATTTATCAACACGTCTAATGGTTGTCTGATTTCCTTGGTCATCCACAGCATATTTAAGTTTCATATCCACTGTGTATTTTTTCTCACCAGTGGTGACTGAAATACTTTTCTGCTTTCCCCTGTAAGCATTTTCCAACTGCATATTTGCAAGAGCTGTCAGAGGGCACGTAGGAATCCTCCTCAAAATATTGCCATTCAATTAAATTTTGTAAAAGTCCTGTCTGGACCTCTTCCTGTTTAGTAGCTTTTACCCTAAGGATCATATTTCTGAATAGCTGAATGAGCAATCCAGACATCTTTCTCAAAACCTGAAATTCTAATCGAGGTACCCTTCAAACAAAGAGCAATTTTTAATTTCTTTTCTAGGCGACGCAGTTCCTCATTCTCTTCTTCACTGAAATGAGAGATGGAGTCATCTACAATTTCTGTCTGAAGCTGTTCCTTTGAAATTGTACTTCTCAGCCAGTTTTCAGTTTCTTCCACTTCATTTTCATTTTCACCACAAACTTGCACAACAGCCAGGTCCATTTTCTTTTCCAAAACTCTTGTGTTTTTTTCCTTTGGGGAATGTTTCTCAGGGCTCCAGAATGCTACATTGAAATACATAGATATTGTAATTAATATTAATCATTACTACCTGGTGCTAAACCGATTGATCTATAACCTGCACTTAAGTAATATCTACTTACATTTCATCTTGGAAATAAATGATTTGACTGCTGTTTTAGTAGGCCTTTCTCTTTTCTGCATGCTTGCATGGAACACACTCAGCAGATGTGGCTGAAAGATGACAACTTTAATAGTTTTCACAGATGCAGCAGAGTTCCTCTTTGCAAAGTCAGTTACTGCATCTATCATCTTGTCAGCTACCTCAGCAGGATTGCGGCCTGCCTCTCCTGTAAAACGTTAGAGATATTTTGCTTTTAAGAACTGCTAATAATTTACAAATTATTAAAACAT